GCAGCAGCAGCAGCAACAACCGCCTACAGTGCAGTCAGAAGTGCAGCCACCACTGGAAAATCACCAGCAACCACAAACAAGTATGTCAACCCCAATACGACACCAGACCATGACGCCAATACTACAGCAACCAACTACTAATATCCCGACACCAGGACCTCCACCATCAATGACAGCATCACTGCGCAGAAACATGTATATACCGCCGGTGTATGCAGCTGTTGTTGGTGGGGACATCGCCCTGGGAAAAGCCGACAGTGGCGTCCAGATGAAAAAAGAGAACTACGACTCGTGTCTAGTTCAGTGCAAAGGAGCACAGTCACTTGTGCTGAAAATGATGGACGTGTTGTTCACTAAAACCGAGTTAGCAAATTCAAATTTAATTGGCGGCCCAACGAAATGTGGTACTGTGGTAAAACACAAAGAAAGACTTCCCGGAAAAATCATCGACATGCTCAGACTACAAGCACAGTTACAGTTTCCAGAGCAACTGACAACACCAGTCGAACTTTCTCGCTTACGAGAGGCCATCAACGGCAAATGTCGCAAGACTAGACTACCCGAATAACAGATTTTTTTCACTGATTATTTGCTTTTCAATGTCTGTCCCTGTGTTGTGTTGTAATAAAATCGTTTTACTTTAAAAATTTGTTTTATTTTTATTATTAGTGGCCCCTCGCTAAATTCTGTTGAGCTTTGTCGACGGTTTTGAAACATACTTCACACCTACTGACCGTCAATTACTGTAATAAAAGGGTGACGGCGGCTTGACTCAAGTCGTCTGGGGTGTCAAGTAGCGACTTTACGTACTTCTCGGCCGGCGTCTTTAATATAGCTCTATAAACACTGATTTTTTTTCAATATTTAGGAAACGTTTTTTTTATCCATTTTCAATGCATTAACCCCCTTTCTAAGTGAGAGGTCACTGTATATTAAATAAATTTCTAGTTTGGCAACTTTGATAAAATATACGTCATAATTTAGGTCAACATTTTTCCATTGCTTTTCGACCTCATTTTGTGATTTTGTTTATGGAATCGACCGTAATCGAACATATTTACACACCCCCTCCAACAATCCCCAATGTAACTTTATTATAACAAAACAGAGTGTGCAAGTGTGCCGGTATATCTCTTTTTGGAACATGTGATTAGCCCTGAAAGGGGCCGTTTGGTTTGGGGCAGAATACGATTTAGACTGGAAAGGTCGGGACTTTTTTTTTTGTTTTACAAAAAAAAAAATATAATTACAGCCAAAACAAAGTCAGCTTGGACATTCAGTTGTGAGACATGACAAAATAAACGGTGCCAGCGATATATTTTGCGAATGAAAGAACAAAATAAACGCAATCAAAGGCGCCGACCACGCGCGTTCGAAATAAACTAATAGAACGCGTTGCGACTAGAAATATCGCCTGCATCTATCATTCACGCAAACGCACACACATGCTATTTCCGTATGTTGAATACGTTGGTAACGGAAGGGACAAGTTTAAATCATCTTTGTATTAACACAACTCGAAAGCAACAGTCTCACACTGAATATATGTTTATCAATTATCGAACTAAACATTCAATGAAGCGGACTGCGATGGTTAAGACGAAAAACATGTGACAGTACGATTATGCTCGTCTACTACACGCCCGGGGACTACACGTTCAAGTATTCAACTTCCCAATACAAAACATGATTAGTATCAGCAATAAATTATAGTACTGCCTGGATAATTGCGTATTATTAGTTGACATCAGACAAATCCCTGTACAGGATTTTTCGAACAATGTCTCAAATTTACGAAAGAATATTCAAATAAGTTGGGATGAATATGAATTGAATATCCATCTTTTGAAAAATCAGCTAAACAGTTTACCACCACGATTGTGGTGAATTGGCGAGTTATCAACGAAGACGACCGGGCGTCTCCGGTCATGAGCTGGCTGGTTCGAATTTATCCACTTTTACAGTGATGAATATTGCGTTCGAGTTGAGTTACTAGTAATTACAAGCCTGATTTACATTTTTCTTGTGGCTTTTTTCGTCAATGTATTAAATATAAGTGCATTGGGAAATGGCATAATTATATTGCGTGAGTGAAAGACGCTGGTGAGAATGTGTCGGAACGCGTTCTATTAATTTCTAACGCGCGTGGTCGGCGCCTCTGATTGCGTTGATTTTGTATTTTTATTTTCGAAATGTTGGCTGAGTTTTTTTTTTGTTATGTCTCGCAACTGAACGTCCAAGCTGACCTGTTTTGGCTGTAATTGTCAATTTAGCCTTTTTAACGCGATCGCGAAAATTAGCGTGACTGCGAAAGAAATCCCTTTAGCGGTTAGGTTAGTTTTCGCGATCACGCTAAAAGGACTAAAAACAATTAAATATTTCTTTTTGTAAAACAAAAAAGAAGTCCCGACTTTGCCAGTCTAAATACGATTCTGCATTTCTGTGGCATATCCTATCTTCGAGGGTGAAACATTCTGTTATGGCGGGTCTTGTCTGCAACTGAGGTGAATGTGTACGACCTACAGTGGTTACACATGCCAAGATTGAGCTTCTGATATTTTGGCATGTGGGCATTTGGAATTTCTGGTATTCGCGAACTGCTTGCTTCAATGAATGTTTGAAAGTGTCCCTCATATTCATTACTGGAAACTGGTGATGGTAACCCATAAGTACGCAGAAACTGCATCACATCATGAGCGCGGACAGGATTGCTGCTGCAATGATCACATGACTGATTTTGACATTTTGTGAAACAGAGTGTCCCAATACGTCTTTCAACATGGGCAATCATCATTTTCATCTCAGCTAATATTTCTGCATTTTGGGGTTCTCTCAGTTTCTTTGCACCTCCACCCTGAACCAGTTTATGTACACGATCGTAGTCATTGTACACGCGATTTACCACTCCATCACAGCTCTCATACTGTGGTGTAACCGGGTATGATCCATGTTTAACATTGCTCCAGTAGTTTTGCAGGCATTCCATAGCATTGTTGAAAACCTGAGTAAAAATATACAAAATAATAAATTTTGAATTTAAACACCTCATTTTAAAATTATGATTATTAATAATCACAGAACTCCTAATTCTGTGTTGCAATTTACAAGAAAAATGCTAGGGAAAAATAATGAATTGAATTTAGATATTAAAAAATGAAATAAATTACACATGAATTAAATATATATACTATAAATATATAAACTTGCCTGTACTTCTTTCTTTTTTCTTTCACTGTCTGGGAGTCTCTGTTGATGAGGTGAGGTGCTATCTCCTGGCAGTTTGTCAGGCAAAACAACACCAGCCAATTTTTTGGACAGTGTTGACCACCCCCTCTCAATCATGTTATAGGCTGAATAACCAGGGCAATATGAAGTAAGGATGAGGCAGTCCAGATTGAGGTCTCTCCATAATCTCATGTAGTACATCATGTTTGTGGAATGATTTACATTGAAATCACTGCCACCATCCAGCACGCAAATAAGTACGGGTTCATCCCGATTTTTCATGACATCAGTAAGATCTGTCACATGTGCTATGATGTTACATGGCCGATACGAGTCTACGCGATTTATTACTGTCATGGGGCCGGTTCTCGAGAATGAAAAACGATCTCTTCCGAGATCATCTTTCACCAAAACATCATCCGGAGAAGAGTGTTCTGTCTTGAGTAACATGTACCCAGCTGGGGTAATTAAATACCCAGGATTGGGAAAGTCGTGGTCGTTGAAATCTGGAGTGTCGCGTCTAGGAAAATAACGTGTTTGCTGGTGATAGCGAGAGACAGCCGGTACGCCGATTTTGACTTTGTTCATGTTGTCACATGATATGGCAACACATGATTCGGCATACTTCGACGCCAATTCCATACAGTATTTCACTTGTGTGAAATAAAAGTGTGAATTTTCGTCTAGTTTCCGCTGATTGTTGGTCGACGTTTTTGGAATCTTGGCATCAATGTCTGCCGTATACAGCGCAGATGCCTTGAAGCGTTTATTGGGCGCGACCATCCATCGTGATATCGTCGATATGCTCAAACCGCGTTCCCTCACTTCGGGGTGATTACTGAATACGGCATCTTTCACTTGTTGGCGAGTAACACCGCAATTACCAGTTGTCTCCCGACGCCTTTTGTGAGCCTCAAACCCATTTTCTTCTACGTAAGTCTTTGCTGTTTCGACTACTCCAGGGAATATATCTGAAATACGAGGTCGACCAGAACCAGGTCGCTTTCCTCCGATCTTATTTTTTGTGGTGGGTGGTACGCACTTGGTGACTGTCGTATCTGGCTGTGGAACATCTGCACAAAATACCCAGTCCAATTCCAATCCACTGGCATCATGCCATTTGCTCTCAGTCGTTTTCTGTGGTGTTAGGTCTGTACAAAATACCCAGTCTAATTCTAGACTGTGTCCATTGAACTGGCTGTACTCGGGGCCCTGAAAAGGGCCGATTGCATTTAATGCAACGCTTTCCGAGCAAGGTTGGTGTATCAAATCATTTGAATACATAATAATAATTGCCGAAAATAAATCACTGGAAATTTGTGGAGAACGAATTACAACAGTGTCAAATTGAACCGGTCAACTAAATTATTCAACATTGCCCCCTGCCTTTATAATAAGTTGCCGTGTGTTGCCATGGTGACCATCAAAACATTTGCCTAATTTCGTCCGATCCATTGTAAGCTGATATTCAAGTCTCGGGTGTAAAATCGAAAACAAAAGGTTTGCGTGTTTATAAAAAAATAAATACATGTATT